CAGCACACCTCCCACTTGTATTTCTTCCTCCTCTGGTTTCCTGTCGAAATCCCCCAGTCGCTTATTTATTTGACTGGAGACAAATACATGTTAAAATCTTTGCAGGTAGTGTTTCTGCCCTGTCTAACTTACAGAGTTGTCAACTCAGCCATTGATAAAAATGGCATACATATGATATGACAGGTGATATACTTCCATCCAATTGATTATGTCACGGGGGCTTCGTGTCATTCGCCCTCCAATCCCAGGACCATGACATTAGACGCTTCTCATTAAAAAACAAAAATAAAAATTTATACTAACTTTTGAAACATGCTGTAGGTTTTTATTGTTTGAAAAATCAGGTACGATTGAAATCCATCCAAAAAAGTTAACTCTTCTTGTGCATAACAATCCCGTTTCCTGAAATAATTCATGAAATGAACACCACCCCGTTCCTTGCCCTGACAGTTTCCAGTGTCAAAGAATCATGGGACTGTGCCAGAGAGAATTTGGACAATTTGGCTATAAAATATTAAGTTCCTGCACACATGGGGACCTACTTAAAATAATTTCTAACATGTTAGTTTCATAAAATTTCAGCAATTTTTCTTAATTGAGTGAAAATTATAGCTTACGTTTACTTTTACAATCATTTACAATAAACTGACTTTAAAAAAGTCTTTTGATCATAGACGTTGAGGGCGTTTGTCTTCAATTTGAGAACAACACTTTACTGGCTTGCATTTCCTAATTGTTTTGGAAAGTATTTTTATGCCATCTGGTAGAGTAGTTGGTGTAAATAACATTGATGAGCACTGGACTATAAATTTTATTCTAAAGAAATGTTTTAATGTGTAAGTTTTAAATATCATATATCTGTCAAGTTAATAGTTCTACTCTAATAAATAAAATAGTCTGCCCTTCTTTTTAAAGATTACTTGTCAGGCCCTGGCCGGTTTGGCTCAGCGGTTAGAGCATCGGCCTGCGGTCCCGAGAGACCCAGGTTCGGTTCCCGCTAAGGGCATGTACCTCGGTTGCAGTTTGTCCCCGGCCCTGGTTGGTCGTGTGGGTGGCAGCCACTCGATGTGTCCCTTCACATCGATGTTTCTCTCTCTCTCTCCCTTCCTCTCTCTCCCTCCCACTCTATCTGTACAAAAAATGGAAAAATATCCTCGGGTGAGGATTAAAAAAAAAAAAAAAAAAAAAATAAAGAAATGTTTTAATGTGTAAGTTTTAAATATCATATATCTGTCAAGTTAATAGTTCTACTCTAATAAATAAAGTAGTCTGCCCTTCTTTTTAAAGATTACTTGTCAGGCCCTGGCCGGTTTGGCTCAGCGGTTAGAGCATCGGCCTGCGGTCCCGAGAGACCCAGGTTCGGTTCCCGCTAAGGGCATGTACCTCGGTTGCAGTTTGTCCCCGGCCCTGGTTGGGTTGTGTGGGTGGCAGCCACTCGATGTGTCCCTTTCACATCGATGTTTTTCTCTCTCTCTCTCTCCCTCCCACTCTATCTGAACAAAATATAAAAAAAAAAAAATGTCCTCGGCTGAGGATAAAAAAAAAAGATTACTTGTCAGAAGCAGCAGGGTGTTTTGTTAATTCTTTCAGGTACACAGAGGTCTTTGTTTTCTCTAGTGCTTGAAACGGGATCAGATGAGGGAGAATGAGGCATCCTCACTGCAGCATTTCCACCCATGTTGATGGGTTTTATTTTATTTGTTTCTAAATTTATAACAATTGTCTTTTCTTCTCTTTCCACCGTATACTCGCATAATGCCTCATGTGCTTCCGAACTCTCTTTCATAGATTTATGGGTATCATCTGGAGCAGACAGTGAAGCTCTTAAAGAAAATGGGCATGTTGTGTTTAATTTGTGTAGCTCCCATAATATCTGGAAAAACCAGGCAAAAAAATACCAGAAAAAGAAGTTAGGAAATACATATTTGTAAAATGCAACCAAAGGCTACATTCCTTACTATATACATCAGTAAAAAATTGTTCTTTGGTAAAAAAAAAAAAAATCCGAATTAAAGCGATCTGTGTTATTACAGGTGAAAATGTCACATTTCATTTCCCCTGCTTTCAAACTGCAGGTTCACACAACAGCGAGCCTCCCCCAGAGTGGGGACTGGGGGACCATGGAGTGGAACAGAACTCAGCAGCCTACCTGGAATGAACAGGTAGCATGAGTGAGTGAGTGAGAGTGTGTGTGTGTGTGTGTGTGAGTGTGAGTGTTTATCACCAAGGTCTGAGGATTTGTGGTTGTTTTATCTATACCAGAACCTTATCTATTTTATGTATGGTTATGGTACTTGATGCACCAAGTCTTAATTTTGATCTTCACATTTGAAGTTATCAATAAGCTTCCTTTATCATATCTAAAAGTATTGTCCAGACCTTCCCATACTTGACAGTCCATTCTGATCAGTAGTCTCACTGGTTATTACCTGGGAAACTGGATATCTCCAATGTCCATGCTTTGTTCACAGTTTTCTAGCTTCATGGAATAGCTTCCTTAATCCTTCCATAATCTAAGTCATAATGCTTCTTTCAATACCGATGTAAGCCCTGCTCTTTCGACAAATTCGGTCGACAGTGATCTCCATATGCTGCCAAGTTCCACACCTCTAGGAATCTGTACCTCATATTTGCATGTTCTTCTGAGTCATTCTTTGATTTGTTCTGATGTGCTTTTATTTATTTTTTGACATGAACATGAGCCCTTTTAATACCTCCCAGAATTTTGCACAAGGTTAAACACATATTAGGAAATCAATGTATTCAAATCTATTCATTCGTTCATTTTTTTTCAATAATTCACTCAACAAAAGTTATGTGCCACACTGGGTGTTGAATGTCAAAACTGCAAAGATGAGAAAGATAAACACTCTCTCATTTTAAAAAGTTCATAATTTATAGGAGAGACAGAAAGGTACCATCCCAACTCCAATATTCAACTGGTACCACACAAATGTGCTAAAAAGGGGAATTGCTTTTAGTTACTGTGATAATAAAAGTATCCTACAAGAAAGTGTATTTCATCTATTCATTCATTCATTCACTCATTCATTCCTTCATTTATTTATCCAACAAGCATTTAGTATTTGCCTGCAACATGCCAGGTACAGGTAAGATTGGGGGATGCTGAGAGGAAAGGTTGGAAGATAAGGCCTCTATTTTCAGGGTGCTCACTCAAGAGGTGAAGACACTGTGTATACCAACACATTGTGGCATAGTCTAAAAAATACTATTACCTTGACAGGTAATTGTGATAGATGCCATTTGTCTTTACATTGATTGGTTTGGATTAGTTAAGGGTATTGTCCATGTCACTACTTCATCCTGAGCAGCTCACCTTTCATGGGAATAATCAAAAAAAGGCAAATGGCACGGTCTAGGTTTGACTTCACCCAAGCTTGAGGAATGGAAAAATAATTTTCATGCTTGTTGGGTATTATCCTGTGCACTGAAAGGCTGCTGGTTTGATTCCTGGTCAGGGCAGTGCCCAGGTTGTGGGCTGGATCCCCGGGTAGGGGCCCTGCACGAGGCAGCTGATCCATGTTTGGCTCTCACACTGATGATTCTCTCTCTCTCCCTCTCCCTTCCTCTCTGTCTAAAAGTCAATAAAAAATATTTTTTTTAAAAAATGTCAAAACATACATTTTACTTAACACAGCTAAATATTGGCATGAATGAGCTACTCTTTATCTAGTTTAAAATCCAATGCTCAATTTAGAAAAAGAGTAAAAGACAATCCAAACTCCTAGTTAAAATAAATACCTCATTAAGCTTTCATTGTTATTGGTTCATAATTACTGTTTATTTTGTTCCTAGTTTGAATGGTTTTCATGGAACTTATTCGACCGTAATATCCAGTTATTCTCGCTCTTATACACAACTTCAACCTGCTTTGGGTTTTAAGGCAGCTTTTCTTAAAAATGTTAATAAGCAACTTCTTTCAGCCCTACTGTTGTTCTTGCTAGAGAAAGCACAGGGCTACTTCTCAATTAAATTTTCATCAATAAAATGCAATGAATGGCCACCAAGTGCTTCTGAGATACAAAGGTGAGTAAATCATAGTCCATTTCTTCAGTGAGTTTATAATGTATAAAGGAGTTCTAGGAAAATCAAAAGAGAGGCAGTTGACTGATCAAAGAAAATTGTCATTCTGTGCCCAAATAGGTTTCCAAATTATCTGTGTGCTAAGAAGGATGCTTCATTAAGTTACTCATTTTCTCTGGTTCTGGCAGCTCAGCCAGAGGGGGAAAAATAGTTCTTTGATTGCTGTATGTTGTCCCTGGCCGACTTAAGATCCAAATCAACACTTTCCCCCCTAACAAAGCAGTCCTTTCTTCCCCACCAAGCACACGTCCTGAAGCTTCCTTCTTCCACCAGGCGTTGCTATAATCAGTCAACTACAGATACCACCGCTTTCCTACAAATGGCCTCTCTGTCCATCTCTCTCATAGAAACTGCACCCCGTCCACGAAACACAGCATGGTATCCACTTACACACTGTAAAGACACTAGAGAAGGGTTTATATATAAATCATATATATGATATATAATGTATGTACAAATACTCTAAATATTACATATAAAATCCTTCATATACTGGGAGGGGAAGTGATTTCATTCAGAAACCTCAGAGTCATCAGAGAAAATAAAAGGAACAACTTCTTTTGACCAACTTTAAAAAATGTGCAAAACTACTGAACAACACTTAAAGTTTTTTATACACGTTTTGTGTACTTCTTAGACGGTCACACTATTTCGTGGACTAATAAGATTGTTTTCCATTTCTGAAGACTCTGTGAAATAAGTTCACCTTTAGTAGTTTCACAAATTATATCATGAAATGTATTAGAAAATAAATATTAACGTATTTTCTCTCAACAAATATTTTCTAAGGAACTCAAAGATGCTGTCCCCCGACTTGGGTTAAGCGGTGTGTGAGCTACGCTCGGGGTGGGTGTACTTCTTCCCCGGACAGACTGCGTTCTGTGGAAGGAACATACCCAGATGCTGTCCTCTTGCCGATACTGCTTCCAGTTCCTGCCACTGTCACTGAACATCAGGAGGTAGGTGGTCACCCAGTTCGAGCTCCCATATCCCCCTTGGGTGGCCACGGCGGTGATCTCCATTCTCTCTCCAAGGTCAATCTGCAACCACTGGTATTTGTTGGACACGAGTGGAGACCAGCCACCAGCTCCTTTTGTGAAAATAAAAACAGGAGAAAGTTGGCAAAGAAAAATTAGTTAAAATTCTGTTAGAAAAGAAATGCCAGTAAGACTGTATTCCTCTATGGAATATAAGAAATCAAATTTCAAAATATAATCATGGGGGGGGGGGACGGGAAAAGAATTTAGTATAAATGAATGAAGTCTATGTTAATTATATTCATTTCTATGCATTAGAACCTCCTGACCCTCGGAAGAACTATAGGTCTACTGAATGTTTAAAGTGCTTACTTCAACAGGTAGACATTCACATCAATCCTTGGAAATAGCATGTTTACTGCCCACACGCATTATTGGGTAATGATCTGGACTTCCAATTCTTTGCTCAGCCGGGGATTTAAAGAAACACCTCACACAATGGTGGAACTGGAAAACTACGCCTGACCACGTAGATCCCTTAGAGTAAGAAGCACACCATGAAACCTGAGACTGCAAAGTATCCCTACCCTCACTGTGTTTACAGTTTTACAGGAGGAACAGACCGTAAAAAGCATGTTTGAAACACAACATGAAATACAGTGATGGTGGGGCATGTGCAGGGAAGCACAGCACAGTGAGTGATGGAGAGTTCTATCCCATGGAAACCGGTTGCAGCAGTGTGTGACACCATCACATTTTCAGGACTTTTGCAGGCCGATTGGTAAACACAGCCCTCTTTGCAACTGGCCATGGTGGGAGAATTTATACCACGGAATCTCTCTATTTGGGGAATTTATTTATCGTAAGTAACACTGACACTGCTGGTTGTATACGTAATATATAATCATTGTCAATGTTTTGAAATAGAGCTTGACACATTTTTGAATCCACAATTACCTAGTATTCAATACTATTAAAATGCAACATCTACTACATAACGCTCAGATAAGAATATTAATACACGTTTATTTCCCCATCCACCTTGAGGCTCTGATACGGTCTGGCATTTTAGGTAGAGATTACCATTCATTTAAATACAGTTTTTTTTCAAGCGTTATTCTTGCCATTGGTGTCATTTCATACAACCTGGAGCACAGGCTCTGGGGCAAAGATGCCCAGGACGTGTTTGCTATTGGGGAGGAGCATACACGACTGAGGTCTAAAGGGACACATCTGTGTTCACTGTTTTATAAGAAAACATTTTTCTGATGGCAGACACAGTGGCACTCTGATAGATGAAAGGTAGACGTTTTGAAGAGGAGGCTGCCAGTCAGGGCCATGCATGGGAAGGCTGACAAGCTAAAGTTGTTGGGGACAACTAACGTATGGCAAGTGGGGTGGGATTAGGCAGGTTTTGTGGGCTCCTATGGGTTGGCTAACTTGAAGGGGCTGCAGCGCATAGGGTGGTCCTGAGTTGTCTAGTACCCGACTCCAGGGTGATTAGTGCTGGGGCACGTGATGGGAGTGGGGGAATGCGTCCATTTCCCTCCACCACCCTGTCTAAGCTTACCATTCTGCCTCGGGGCCTGCGGAAAGTTTGGAAGTGGAAAGTCTTCTGGGGCCTGATGTGGCCCAAGCATCCTTGGTTGTCTTACTGATGCAACTGCATAGCTCTCTGCACTGCTATCATTTGTTCACACAGAGAAGTTGGAGAAGAACGAAGCACATGCCCCCAGCCCGCCATCATCTGAACCTGACATTTCTACATTTAGAATGTCATCTATATCAACATATGCCTGGGAGAAAATGCTGATTAGATTGCCTCTTGCTCTTCTAGTTAATTTGGATGGTCTCGAGTTAATAACGAGGATACATTTTTAAAGACAGAATTTCAAAATATTTCTCTGGCATTTTGACACCCTTTTACAGAGCAGTAGTTTCGAAGGGAACACAGGAGAGGACCACAGTGTGGAAAAAGGATGGAGTAAGTCAGGTGAGTGGAGCCTGGACCACCACTTCCATCAGGAGAGAGCCCCCCCCCCCCGCCCCCTCTCCCAGCATCATGTCTGGGGCGGCTGCGCTCACCAACTTGAAACACTGGCAATTAATTCACCTTGAACATTTCAATTTCTTACCTGTGGTGAAAAGGTACTACTGATATGCAAACTAAGCTATGTCGTTAAGGAGGTACACTGATAGCCATGGAAATTCGGGTGCTCCCAGGCTTTACAGAGTGGTAAGTCGGCCACAGGGAATTCAGAGATCCCCGCTGGGGTGTAAGCTGCGCGGCTCCACAGACACACAGGTGTAAGTGTGGGATGGAGCGTTATGCTCGTTCTAATTTTAGAACAAATGTCAAATAGTAACATGGAAAATGCAAAGACAGAGGTAGAGACAGGGAACTTGGCACATCTGGCAGTGCCAGCCTATGCCGGACATGAGTGACATGGCATGGAAACTGGACGGCAGCTGAGGTCAGACTGCCCCAGTCATGTGCCACTGCCAAGCCACTGAGCCTTCTGGAGACATACTATAACCACGGTTGCTTTTTTAATGGAGAAAACGATGGTTAACTCCAGCAAATGGTAAACTCTGAATTACTGCAAAATAAAATACAATCATGCATTCTTCATTTTAGTCATTAACCAAAACTTTCAGATGCTGGCCAAGCACTGTTTGTCTTTAATGATGTATTTAATACACCCAGATAGTCAACACCACAGTAGACTCATATCCTTGAGACCAAAGACCGTGTTTCCGTGACACTGTCTATTCCTTGGTTAAGGAGATTTGCCCCACAAAGCAAAAACAAGAGTCTTGTCCCTCCATTCATTTTTCCCCCACCCTGAAGTCTCCCTTCCGCTACTGCACCCTCCTTTCTCTCCTGCATTGGCCTCGCTACTGAGATTTGACACAAAAAAAGTGTCATAAATCTTTTCAAACAGCAAGATTTCTTGAATCTTCAAATGACAGCCTGAAAACTCACATTTAAAAAGAAAAATCCTCCCCATTGATGACACTTTTAAATCAGTATTGAAGTGTTGCTACGAGCATTAAATTTTAAAAAGCATATTAAGTGTCTATTGATTTCTCACACACAGCGAGCACAGGAGTGTATGGCCGTTGTTACTTTTTGACTTGTAAAGCCATTATTACTGCCACCCACTCCAAACAAAGAGTTATGATCACAATAGAGCTGAGCTCTGAAAAAGCTTAGTTACTGAGTGACCACAAAACAAGGCATCTCTTATAAAAGTGTTGCCTACAACTTTTAAACATCAGATTCCTAAGGAACTTGCTTCTATAATAGATGTTGCTGTGAACTGTCAGGAACGGAAACCACACTAAAAATTACCCAGGGCCTTTTCTATGCTAAGTACTCTACTAGAAATTTTATGTACCATATTAAACTTAATTATTTAAATTATCTAGTGAGATGAAATAAGTTTTAACATCTCTTCTTTTCAAATAAAACTTTGAAAAAAGATTTACAGACGGTAAGTAAATTTCCCCAATATTATGCAAATTAAATGTTCTCAATATTATACAAATCATTTTAGTGTAGATAAGAAATTACTTTTAAAACAATTTAAATCTGTGTAAGGATCTCATTTTAAAAATCATATCCTGTTCAGTTCTTTACCCCTGAAATAATTAGACAACTATCATTACCCTATAGTGCTCTATTTTATCCCAAGAATCTAGCCAAATAATTTATTCAGAGTTATTTGACTAAATAACTGGCTGGATGAATTATGTTTAAAACCCATACATCTCGCCTGCCAGATATCACCAATGTTTACTTCTGGTCACGGAGACACATCTTACTATTTCAGAGAAGAAAAAATATTCTCGGTTAAAGCCTTAAAATATAGAAAAGAATCATCTGTATCCCCTACTAATATTAAAGATGGCATGACTTCCTGTTGGTCAGCAGCAAAGGTAATGAGTTACAGAGTGTGTCCAACCTTGTAAGGCTAGGAACTAAACAGAAAAGGGGAGTCATATTTCTTTCTTAGGATTTAAAGCCTAAAAGGACACAGATGTTCAAGGACACAGAACACACGTGAACGTGGTTGAATGTCAATCCTAGCCACCATTGGGGCATTGACATTTCTAGAAAATAACTGGCTTAATTAAAATGGTCATAGAAAAGTTTCCCTCTAAGATAATTACTGATTTTTCACATGTGATTTCATCTTGATTCCCCCAAGAGTCTAAGGTTGCCCAGATCATTCTGATCTTGACATTAAATTACAATAATGTAAGGGCTCGGAAAAACCACTGTGCAGACGTTTGTTTGGCTCCCTCAAGTGGTCCCTGGGTCCCGGGGCCACCATTTAGAACCCTTCACCTGCTTTGCATTTGTACCTGCATAGCTCTGTTTGCCAGAAGAAAACATGACTCTATTGATGCTGGGGGTGTTGCTGGTTGTTTCTCAGTTACGTTTCTGAAGCTCCGCATGGCCTCCTGGTCACAGCGCTTATTGCAGGGAGGGGAGGGGACCTGGGCCAAGCCAGTAGGGCGATTCCAAGGCTTTGTTGGGACAATCGGAGAAGAAACTCTCTCTTCTGCTGTGAATACTAAAAGCACGGGATCTCGGCATCAAGCTGGAGGAGTTTTGTGGTGGAGAGCCGGCCTGAGTGAAGCCCACACGGAGGGGAGCCGAGCTGAGCAAGTGCGACCAAGGGCAAAGGGCAGGCAGCGGCGGGCACTGTGTCTGCCCAGCACCCCGGCCTTCCCGCTGCTCAGCCTTCGCCGGGCGCTGGCCCTGCTCGGCACGGCTCCCCCGCCCTCTTCTCTGTCCTGCTTCCTATCTTCTGTTCTCTTTAAGGACTCTTTCCCATCAATGTGTAAGCATGCTGTTAGGGGGGAAAAGCTTCTCTTGACCCCACTCTATGTTTTTTCTGCTTTTTATATGAATAGTCTTCAAATAAGATGTCCGTCCTCACTTTTTGCGGTTTTTCTCATTCATTCTCTTAGGCCAACTCCGGGTAGATTTCCACTTCACACCACGCGTGTTGCTACATCGAACCGTCAGATTTCAGTCCCCCCATCAGCGACTTTCGATACTTTTGACTAATTCCAGCGCCTAGATATACTTTGTTCTCTT